AGGTGTTCACTATTTTTGTTACCGTTCATCTTGAAGCTACTGTGATTTGTCTTGTAGATGATGTTTCATTTGTATTTCATCTCTGTAAGTTATTTTGGGGGAAAACAACTGAGCGAACAATAGACAGTTCTAGGAGTAATTTACTCACCATGGATTATTTTATTAATTAGGTCACGTTTATCTAAGTCATTGTGTAAATTGAAAACATTGACTTTGTTTATGTTTTGATGAGTAATAACTAAACGTGAAACAACCTTGAGGTACACCATTGCTCCAAGATTACTTTTTAAATATCAGACCACTTGCGTTTGAAATGATAGTTAGAGAAAGAGGGAATTTAATAAAAAAAGCTCATGATTTATGCTTCAAAATCCTTTATAAACATTTAAAACGCCATTAACCATTGGGACTACTAATGGGTCACGATAGCATCAGTTAACATTATTAAATTTTTTAAATTATTTATTTATTTAGTCATCTTATAGTTGAAATCTCCACAAACCCCCCTTCTGGTATATATTTAGGTAAAATAACTCATTTGCACTGTGAATAATGGTAAGCATATCATTGAAAATAAAAATTTAATTAAAAAGCATATTATGTAATACATGCCTATCTATAGAAAGCATTATCTCAGAAGAAACCTTCAAAGAACATTTAGTACAACAAACCATGAACGAAAGAATCCAATTAAAAAGTGATATATTTCTCTAAATTACTCAACGCCATATTGTTTTTAGAAACTTGCGTAATAATCGATTGATAAAGACTATCATCATAAGTTGTGTCTCCAATTCACTGTGAATCCATTAGATGTGGAGTTCACAACAACCAATAGATGAATAAACAAGAAATCTATCTTCTCTTTAAAAGTTGAAAAAGTGAAGTATGTGAAACTAAACCTCCAACAAGATTGTTTCCTTTATAAATAGATGGTCAACTAAAGTGAAGCATATTCGAAATTACTAATTCAGGTGGACAAATTTTTTAATCATTGTATTCATCATCGTGAGGACATCTTTAAGCTTTGTTCATCTGTAGTAACACCAATCTTCAAAGGTTACCAGTTTTCCTGAAATGTAACCTTTAGTTAAGGATAGATACACCCATATAAATAAACTTCATTATGTTTTATCATGTTTACAACAAACAAACTAACACAAGCTAACATTGAAGATAAATTTATCTAAACAAAAGTTATCTGAGTAAACATTCTCATGAAAAGTCAACACTGCTGTTTCAGTGTATTCACAGTTGTTATTTAGTTTTGTATGAGAATGTCAATAAATGGTATTTTTTCTATCATATGCCCTGGTTAGTACTATGAAAAACTGTTTGAATGGATGCTTATAATTTTAGCAAATCTATGATTGACATAAACAACTTTGAAAGAACTTAGTTTGTTGTTCCTTTCGAATTCAATTTCATGTTATGCAAATAAAGTAGTGTGTACACATTCTATTTAGTAGAAGAATATCTTGCTAAATGTTGAACTTACACAAAAGTTTGTTTGTATATTTGAAATGAATGGAAGACATATTTTAAAAGAGAACTCTAGTCTAAGTTGAATATATATATATATATATATATATATATATATATGCTTTTATAAGTAGTTTTGTTTTCGAGCAGAAATGTAAATAATATAATTCACCAAGCATATCTTTATAGTGTAAGATATAATTTAGAAAGTGAATGGTTACTGAAAATACTTTAGTAAAACAAAATTGATAAACATATGTTTCACTATATTTAAAGACAACTTAGAAAAGCATACACAATTTTAATTATTTTTGAAAATGATTGACAGATCGGTCAATTTACAGTTCTTATTGCTTCAGATTATACAGAACATTCAATGCTAAGGGTTGTCCGGTATTTTTTGACGAGATGAGTGATAGACTGATATCAGTTATAGTACAACTTCAAAGCTAAGGAGAAGTATGTAACTAGAAAGATAAGAGAAACCAACAGCAAATAATGCTAACTGTGATAATATCTTTTACAGATTACTAGAGTTGGATCAATATAGTTTAGAAAGAAACATATGTTCTTTCAATTTTTATCAATAAGATACTTTGAATTCTTTTCTCAAAGACGCTTCTGACTAGTTTTAGTTTCTGGGCCAAATGTTACTTAGTAAATTGTTCATTTAAAATCAGTTTTTATTAAGTGATATACATTGTTCAATCTTTGAAAATCTTTTTATAAAATGAAACAAAACTTAATAATCAACAGTTCTTGATATGAAGATGTTTTCAATGATATTGCTTGTAATCATGTTTTCTTTAATTCTGTTAACATTTTTGTAACCCCATGAAACCTGAATTTAATACGCATGTCGGACAATGAATGGTAACTTACTTACTTACTGTTACTCCCCATGGAGCATAGGCCGCCGACCAGCATTCTTCAATCCACTCTGTCCTGAGCCTTCCTTTCTGGTTCTATCCAGTTGTTGCTCATTCTTTTCGTATATGTTTCTATTTCTCGCCGTAATGTGTTCTTTGGTCTTCCTCTTTTCCTTTGATCTTCAGGATTCCATGTGAGGGTTTGTTTTGTGACGGAATTGGCTGCTTTCCTCAATGTATTTCCTATCCACTTTTAGCGCCTCTTCCTGATTTCATCCTCCGCTAGAATCTGGTTTGTTCTCTCTCACAGTAGCTTGTTGCTGATAGTGTCTGGCCAACAGATCCGAAGTATCTTGCGTAGACAATTTTTGATAAACACCTGTATCTTCTGGATGATTGCTTTCATAGTTCTCCAAGTTTCTGCCCCTTACAGTAGAACTGTCTTGACATTTGTATTGAAAATTCTGATCTTGGAATGAATAGTAACTAATACCACTAAATTGATCCAATTTACTAAAGACATTGTAAGAAATGCTTTTAAGTTTACACGAATAATGTGAATCTTTAGTTCATTTGTGTACATTTCATTTTTTCTCATTTCTTTGTTGTGAATTATTTTTTACCTAACGATTGTTTTACATTATTCTTTATTATTTGTCAAACAACCAAGTTTTTAGTAATAATTTTCATTTAGTTGATTGACATTATTAAAATTCATTAAGTGTTTACACCCTATATCATGCATACACAATTAAGTACATCACTTATTCAAATATTCCTTAGCATTCCCCTTTGATTATTCTACTACAATTAACTTTTGAAATACCATGAAAGATTAAAATAGACGCCCCAGTTGATGTGATGCCTTTTTTGTTTGAAATGCTAAATCACAGTAACTATTAACATTACATCGTTTTTCCCCTCACACATTAATTAATTGAATGTAAGATTAAGTTGGATTGGGTTAACCTTAATAGCAGATGAATGAATAAACTTCCAGCTATTGTTCTTATGTAAATGAACCAAATTAAAGAGTTTAATTAATTGAATTTCTAAAACATTGAGGTCATTCATTCATGTAGTAATGACGTTCAACTACAACGTAAGATGAAATTCTATGGTAAATTCATATATATTGATGCAGTAAATTTAGAGCATTTTGAGATTGCAACGTATGTAGCTAATGTAAGATAACGTACTTGTTGTTCGAAATTGAGGGTATGATTATTGATAGCAAATGGTGAAGTATCTTGTACAATAGCTTTCAAATTTAATCAGTAGACAAAGACAGAATAAATTAATGACCTATAAGGAGCTCATGCTGTCAGTAACAAAACGTTTTATGATTTTGAAATTAAATATTATAATACCAATAGTATATATATAGTATGTGGTCTCACAGCGTAGTTTTGATCATCACCTATGCTTACTATCCCTCCTGCAACACACGTCACCGGGCACGATTCTCTGATCTTCTCTGTCCTGGGCTCACCTTCCCAGTTGTTCTGAAGTGCTATTCACTCTTTTGACATTTGCCTACGATTGCTGAACCAACACTTCTTATGGTCTGCTCTATATTCTTCTGAGGATCTCAAGTTAGTTTTCCAAGTTTTAGCTCCGTACAGTAAAACACTCTTGATGTTTGTATTGGAGATCCTGACGTTGATATTGGTTGACAATTGTTCTGAGTTCCATACGCTCTTCCGTTGTAAGAATGTTGCCTTTGATTTTCCGAATCATGCCTTTACATTTGCATCGAATCCTCCTTGTTCATCGCTTATGCTCCCTACGTACGAGAACGTTCTTACCTATTCCAGAGTTTCTCTATAAAGTATGATCGAGTTGGTGTTCTCTGTGTTAAATTTGAAGATGTTGCTTTTTCCTTTGTGTATGTTGAAGCCTACTGCTGCTGCTACACTGGCTGTCTTGACTTGCATTTGTTGTTGTATATGTAATAGAAGAGGTAGGTCACCTGAAAAGTCCAGATAATCGAGCTACTTTCAAGCTGTCCACTGTGTTTCGTGTTTCCGCTGATAGGTGATAGTCTTAATAAACCAATCGACCTCCTGAAGAAACAGAACGGATAGAAGTAAACAGTCTTGTATGACACCGATCCTCACTTGAAATGCATCTTAGTTTTAATAAAAATATACCAGAATTTGGTTTTACATCTTAAAGTAACATTTAGAAAATTTATAACCTAAAATAATATTATCTCTTTTTCGATAATGCAATGAGAAGACGAAGATTATCAGAACTATGTGATATATTTATTTTTATATATAAATGTTCTTAACAAGTATATGTGTGATCAGATTGTTCGAAATGTATTGCGCTAATATATCACATAGTTCTGATAATCTTCGTCTTCTCATTGCATTATCTAAATTTATCAAAGGGACTAATTGCTTTAAATTTCTTAAAAGAAGACTCCCTGCACATACTATAAAGAGGTTAGATGAACTTGTCAACCTTAAATGTAAAATTGTATCGGAACGTGTGAAAATGAACTTTTATAAATCTTGTTTGTCGATTCACATATTCCCAAATCAGCTATATAAGAATTTACGTTCAAGTAAATTACAACCGAATATTATCTCTTTTTACCGAAAATTGACAAATTCTCTTGGTTATATGATTATTTTATAGGTGAACATTCACTGGAAACATGAAGTTAATTTCAATTAAAATTAAACTTGATTTTCAAAATTAATTAATATCCAATAAATAAATTATTGTTGTATAACATGAGAGTGAGAGAAAGATTTCAACAAGATTCATTCAAATCAAATTACAATTTTAAAACAATCAGTTTCACTAATTCACAATGGTTACAACAATTATTATCCATTGCAATACGTTTAAATAATACTACAAATATTCAAGATAATATATTATCTTCTGATAATCCTACCATTACTAATAATAATATTCATAATGATATTATTAATGGAACAGTACCAATTACCACAACTGGTTGTATTATATTAGAATTGTATGATAAAAATCCAATATTTCTTTATGATCAAGAAGATTTTCATGATATTAATTATTCTATATTAAAAATGCAAATTATTGTATGGACACAAAAATATATTAAACCAGATGATTTATTTATGGATTGGTTTGAAACTGTCAATAGACAAATTTATTATAATAAAAAAAATTATCATAAAAATGAACATTTAATAAGTTATGATAATGAATTATCTATTACAAATGTAACATTTTGTACGGAAAATTTAAAAAGTTTAATGATTAATAATGATAATCATATATTTAATAAATTAAATAATTATGATTTAAATCATGATAATTTAAATACTAAAAATATAACAAAATCTGGTGAGTTTATAGAAATTAGTTTTAGTTTACAGTATTTATATATTCGAAATGTCTTTTTAATGGTAAGCAGAGATGGATAGTGGCTAGCAGTGGAATCCAGGACGCGCGTTTCGTCCTATTTGGGACTCGTGAGCTGGATGTACCTGCATCTCAGAGTTGATGTTCACTCTGAGACTCGAACCCAGTACACTCGCTTCAAACGCCATCGCGTTATCCACTCGGCCACTGAGTCCTGATAGCCACTTGCTTGTGCGATGGGGTGAAGTTTGAATTCACTTAGTATTGTTTGTTTGGATCTTCCCATCGATGTGTTAGGACTGCAACTGGTCAGTCTCTAATTGGCATATGTGCATACTGTGCGTATTGCCTCGATATACCTTAATTCACAAGCATGGTAAGCAGAGATGTCTTTTTAATGTTTTTTTTTCATAGTTGAAATTATAAGTCAATTGAATATAGAATACTATGGAAAATCTGGAACACTGAACGATTTTTTTGTCCTATTGTGGTAGAGTGCAACCACTATCTCGCCTCATCAGATTCGAACCCAGAACCTATCAGTTTTGCGCCAGAGCACTTAATCGATAATGCTTATATAACTAGAAAGATTATTTTAGTTATAGATCCAGGTAACTTTTTATAGCCAGGTATTAACAAGAACTAGCAAAATATTAGTTTGAATAGTAGACAAGCCATATATTATCAGTAAGTTAAAAGAACAGCAACTGTTCACTGAAACTTGACAAATTTTCTAATACGTCTTTGATATTTTAAACCTTAGTTGGTTTTTTAAAATCATTCTAATCCACTGTGCTTGAACTGCTTTTGTATGAGATGTTCAATTTGAAAATACATACTGTCATGTTTTAATATTATAGTAAAAGTAGAACATCGAAATACGACTCATTATCTACGAAACATGGATATCGTTTCTGCTTCATATGCTGCTGAGACTAGTAGTAAAAATTTCTATCGGTACTCTTAACTTTTCCATATATCATCGGTTGGTATTAGTATACGGTGAAACCTATCTATAAAGACACGTGAAATATTACTTACGGAACACAATAATATTGTGTATTGTGCAGCGAAGGTCATTATCAAAGAAAGAACGAGGTCCATGCCTTATTCAAAACCTAAAAGACTTGAAAAGAATTGTGTCACATCCCACTGCGTTTACCAATTTAAATGTGTATGTGCTCACATATGAATTATTTTTCTGGTTAGCGTTTTTTTAGCGAGTTAGCTTTTCTACGGGATGGGGTCGCTAACCCCATGCCCAACCCTCCTCCTTTACCCGGGCTTGGGACCGGCAGTAACTGTAGAAGAGCTACAGGCGGAGTTTTGAATAGTAGACAAGTATTTATAAATAGTTGTCTACACAAAATACTCAACATCCATTGGCCGGATACTATCAGCAACAGCATTTTATGGGAGAGGATAAACCAGCAGGTTCCAGCTGAAGAGGAAATTAGGAAAAGACGTTGGAAGTAGATCGGACATACATTAAGGAAATCATCAATGTGCATCAGGACTTAATCCCTAACATGGAATCCGGAAGGGAAGTGGAAAAGAGGAAGGCCAAAGAACACACTATGCCGGGAAATAGAAGCAAATATGAAAAGGATAAATGTTAACTGGAAAGAACTGGAAAGGAAGGCTCAGGACAGAGTTGGATGGAGAATGCTGTTGAGCGGCCTATGCTCCTCGACGAGGGGTAACAGGCGTAAGTAAGAAAGTGCTCACACATACATAAGGAGGAGCAATCATGATCTGAAAATTAGGGTGGGTGAACATGTACCAAAATGGTTGCAAAAACAAATAGAATCAAATGACCCAATAAGAGTAGAAGATAAACATCCATCATCCTCTATTGCCAAATAAATGATCGAAACAGGTCATAAGATTGATCTTAACTCGGCTTTTGTGGTACTGTATAAAAGTGTGAAAGGGCGTATACTAAGGTTTATTGCAGCCTTAGCAATACGAAAATTCAAACCCCCTTGGTGTATTCAAAAACAGTTTGTTCTCTCCTTAAACCTACCCTGGTAATAAATGCTTATTATCCAGAGTGATTAGGTGTCAAATTGTTTTCACATTATTTTTACCATTATTATCCTTGTCCATTCTTACCCTATTTCCAGTCTAGTTGACCTTTTACTCTTATATATAAATGTTCTTAACAAGTATATGTGTGATCAGATTGTTCGAATTGTATTGCTCTAATATATCACCACATAGTTCTGATAATCTTCGTCTTCTTCTTATTTTATCGAAACATAATAATAGTTTTTTTCCGATTCCTAAAAGAAACGCACATTACGAGAAGAAATAATGCTCAAGTCGATAAACAATTTAGACAATTAAACTATTAAACTAATAGTTTTTATCCCTCAAAGTCTATAGACAACTCAGTCAGTATAAAAGAAAACAAATACAATAATAATATATGAACAAAATTAAAGTTACTTCACTGTTTAGCCTTTAAATGTAGAATAACTTTCACAATGTTCTAGTCCAAATCATTGGTACATGAAATTAAAGTGATATCCAACGCATAATATTAAGTGACGATTTTTTTATATCACAAATTGTTTCAAACTGTAGAACCTATAACGCTTGAATTTCATCTCAAAAAATTAGTAACATCTTCCTCTTTATCAGATTTTAAGGTCGTATATGACGTCATGTTTGTAAACCCGTAAAAGAACTGTTTACTTGAACAAAAGCGCCTAGAACTGTCTAATTTTAGTGGTCTTCTGGTTGAAGTGAATTCCTGATGAAGCTTACTTTCGTAGATACGTTGTTTTATTATTTTTATAATGACAATTAAATTTGAAGATATCGAAACTAATAATATCAAAATTAAATTCATTTAGTATTGTTTGTTTGAATCTTCCCACTGATGTTTAGAACTGCAACTGGTCAGTCTCTTACTGGCATATGTGCATACTGTGCGTATTGCCTCGATATAGCCTTAATTCACAAACACTGAAAGCGAAGATTGATAGTGGCTAGCAGTGGAATCCTCTTATTTGGGACTCGTCAGATGGATGTACCTGCATCTCAGAGTTGATGTTCACTCTGGGATTCGAACCCAGTACCGTTCGCTTCAAACGCCATCGCATTATCCACTCGGCCACTGAGCCCTGATAGCCACTTGCTTTTTTTATATTTCTGTACATGAACCATAGTCTTTTCTCATCATGTTTTTTGACTTCATAGATAAATATGGCGGAAACGAAGTGCAAATTTTAATCGTGATTACTCTTTGTTCTGTGCTCATTATTTGCTTTCTGATGGCTGTTGTTTTACGTATTAGGTAAGTAAAATATTCTACATAAACAAGTAAAGTCAGTTTTGTTTATTAGTTTATTAAGCAGTGTGCTAAAACATTCGTAATGCAACAAAAATGTGTCATAATTCTGTCAAATTGTTTGACATTGGATTGATTTGAGTTTGAATTATTGTACTTAGAAGATGAATACCTCCTTCAAGTTTACATATTGGGAAATGTTTTAATTAAGTTGCTGAAAACTTTAGAGGTTTGACCAATACAAACTTTATAATCTTTATTAATAAAAGAACTGTGCTTTGAAATGATCGCGATGAGAACATTACTGACTATCAAATCCTTTACCATAAGATTTGTACAAACTAAAATGCTATATAGTACAAATTTTAAAAAAAATCAACTTAATGTTCTGATTACCGCGTAACTTATATTCAATTTAGAGATGTTTATTTGTTTGATGTGGGAAAAAAATAATTCACAATGTATGTTATATCCCGTGGAGATTTATGAATGGTAACTTTGAGAACTATTTATGGACTAATATGATATGTATATTTCCTTTTGTATAATTGTTAAGTAACTAAGCTTTATTTTGACCCATAGACTATTACTGTACGATTTACCATCCTTGAGTTATCCCCAGTCTATTAATTACTGCTCCCCCCTATTCACAGCCACATTGGACTAAATCTTATACAAATATTATTTTCTATTTTGTGGTACGATGTGGTCAGTTTGTTTGGTATATAAACCCAATATGTTTGAGAATAATGATTCACATTTCAGAGGCTGTTATTGGTGTTCTGGACTTAACTAGTTGGGCTAGGCAGAAAGCAGGACTGATAAGTACTCAAGACTGCTCAATAAATTCACTCCTCTCTGATAGGCGGGAATCAGCACGTTCATATATATCAACTTGGCAAGAATGCACTCAATCGATTTAACAGTGTAAACATCAGTAAGCTAAGAAGTCGCAACATCTTACAGGTGTGCCATACATTCCATGACAAGAATAATCAAGTGCTCGAAAATAATTAATTTAATACTTATTAATAATTTGTTCCATTTGAACAAGACAGGCTTAATTAAAAGAAATCAACTTCAAGCTTATTAGATATATTCCATTTGTTACGCTTCCATAAGAAGTATAGCAAAAAAATTTATTATGGACGATTGTTTTAAAACGTTTTTCATTTTCTTTTTCTTCTGACATGTAGAAGTTTTTGTAAACGTCAAACAGAATCAAGAAAACAAATGCGTAACGATCGTGATTTAGCATTACAAATCAATTTTCCATATGATGTTAATGAAATACAAGTTGCAGAAAAACTACCTGTACCAAGTACAACATTTGGTAGTAATACACATCCTGGACAAACTAAAAAAAGAATCGGTGTTTATAGATATAATCGTATACCACAATCAAAATATAATTCAATACAAAATTATAACAGGGTATTTAATGCTCAAACATATCAACCATCTACTGTTTTTGTGATAGACTGTCAAGGCGCTGATTATTGCAAAAAATCGCATAATAAATGGCTAACAAATCATGTGAGTGAAAAATATAAAAATAGTTTTCTTTTGGAAGAATGATAGGTTTCTAAACTGGTGTTTTTTCTATGAATGCTTGTTAGTATGTAACATTAATTAAGGGAGGATTTTCCACATCTGTAGGTATACAGTCTAAGCTTAAAGTGTTCGTTCTGTTAATGATTAAAAAAATAATTATTTTCGAGTCTTCAATACTTCTACGTATGTTTTCTCAGTCTCCTCATTCAATCTGTTATGAATATTATTATATTTTCTGTACTTATTAGTTCTTTATCATATAAACAATTGTGTGTTACCTCTAAAGCATGAATAGTACCTTTTTGTTTAGGTTGTACAATATGAAACATACATTTATAGGGTTTGCTACGACACTGTAAAATATAATAATTTTATGATTAATAAACGGAAATGAAGTTTCTGGAACTGTTATCACACTAATGCCAACTTTCAGTTTTCATTATACATCAGGTTTTCAGTATACTAATTGATCTTGATAACTCAATGGACGAAATTATGTTTCCTTATTATGTTATCAATGAATTTAATAAAGTGGATTTTTAGAAGTGATGGAACAGTATGTTCAGGTTTAAAACAATTAAATTGATCAGTGTTAATTTAGGGCCCATGAGAAATTTCATGTATTATTTTGAGTAATTTATTCAATATTCAACTAGTGTTACGCGAATGACGGAATCATGAAATGTTCCCAAGAATGAAGGATTAAGAAGACAATAAAATTTAAGGAAATCAACTGTCAGAGGTATCTTTGAGTATGAAGAACCTGAACAGATAAATACAAACAATTAACTAAATAATATTCTTATGCTCAGTGGTGAGTTGCTCTAAGGTAACTTTCATAAAGTTAAAGTAAAAATCTCGTTTTCCACTAAATTAGGACATTAGCAGGGACATTACTTACCGTGATGGTGTGATAATGTAAAATAGGAATGATAGAATCTGAAGTTAGTAAAGCAGCATACAAATTACAAATTCTATATGCTAGATGCCATTCAAGATTGTTAGCATGGAGCTGTAAGAAGTGGTGAAATTAGAACGAAGAAGTCGAGAAGAGTTTCTTGGTTTTTATTGTTAATATCAGTCGGTGGTGAAAACGATTGTTAAATTGGATATATATTTACAAACCCACTAAATGAAAATATAAGGGGACGATATAACTAGGTTCGATTATATACTAAATATTGTGTAAATTTAGTACCTACATTTAGATTAATCTTTATGCAAACATTCTCATTAAAAGGTTGAAATTATCTACTTCATCTTAAATGATCTGAAACATGTAACTAGATCTTCATCAAACTTTTGTATTTACTGATTGCCAATTTGATAGCTAAACAAAATAGTACAGACAATGTGCATATTGAGATAATAGGTTTGATCTCATCTGTATATCTATTAGGCTAAAGAGTGATAACCTTGAAGCAAGTGGACGCGTTGACTAAAAGAACTGGAAATACTGATAATTATATAAAATGCATTGAGTGAAAATTTCTAATGACCACCTCCAACCACCAAACAACAGAGAGTAATACAAGTTATGCACAATTATTGGACCTAGTAACACACTTGTTCGATTATCAACACTAAGAACTAGACAAACAGTGATATTAATTATCATACAATAGTTTATAGGTGGAAACATTTTTTGATTTTTGGTTGCCTTGTAACTAATACGAAAAATTATTGAATTCGGAGGTCTTGTTAACCGTTCACACTTCATCCTCTTCAATATGACTGTTTAGTTAATGATGCCTTACTTATGATAATTGTTGGGATGACCCTGCATTTTTCTCGCAAGCGACTTAACAAGCTCAGGGGTCATCAAGGAGCATTTCAACCAATCAGCGATTAATTAGAAGTTATGTGAAGTTATGTTACTAAAATAACGGAAATGGAAAAGTCACATGTGGAGGTCCTGATTGGCTGATTTATACACTGCTACTATGTTTAGCAGTGTTCTAGACTTTTCAGTAAAACTCAAGGACTCTTAAATTACTATAAAATCCCCATATTTGCTGTACATAAATGAACCCTGTAGTAAAGTGCTTCCCTCACACTTTGTGTCTTTTCTCTGGTCTTCCAGTCGTGCTGAGTAGTTCTAGCTCGGGGGTTACGGAACTAGCTTAGGGAAGCGAATATAGTGTTCACAATCGGCCAGACGTAACAATAATGATGAACTATTTCATACATCTTATAAATACACTTTTTCTTGAATATTTATTAAAAGCCATGTAGTCAACAAATTCACTTGTCATTGTTTACATGTTCCCATTGTTATTTAGGACTGTAGTTGATCAGTCTCTTGTTGGCATAAGTGCATCATGTGACGACTGTTAAGATATTGTCTTAAGTTACAAGCTTTATAAGCAAAGTCGGATAATGGCTAGCAGTGGTCAATATTCTGACCATAACTTACAGCGTCGGCAATCTAACGATATATAATTTTTATACAGAATTTGAAATTATTATAAATATATACGATTGTAGAATTTTGTAAATGAACTTGATTAAAAGTATTCTTTCATTGATTTATGCATTTTATAACTAAACAGGATGCGGTTATGCTGAGACATTCATGTTTAAAATATTTAACATAAAGAAAAAGTTTAATGTGGTACTAAAATTCATTTTATAAAATTAAGTATCACAAGGGGGTTTGTGGAGATTTTGGTTATTTTATATAGTTGAAATCATGAGTCAATTGAAGCTAAACCACCATGGACAACCTGGAAGTACTGGACGGCCGTTTCGTCCTATTGTGGGACTCCTCAGCAGTGCTTTAATTGACTGATGATCTCAACTATGTAAAATTACCGAAATCTCCACAAAACCCTCTTCTGATAATGATCATATGCTCACTAGTGACTGGCTCCATGAGGTATTTCCTGGGGTTCCAGTGAGAAGCAGTAACCACTGGATTTCAACTAGGTCTGTTGGGAGATATCAACTCACTAAAGACGTCGGTGAATGATTGCTTAATTTTGTGGGTTGGTTGAAGTTAGACATCAACACCGTTAAATGCCGACCGGCTCAGTGGTCTATCGGTTAAGTGTTCTGGTGCGAGACTGGTATGTCCTGGGTTCGAATCTGGCTAGACGGGATCGTGGATGCGCACTACCGAGGAGTCCCAAAATAGGAAAAAACGGCCGTCCAGTTCTTCCAGGTTTTCCATAGTGTTCTATCTTCAATTGATTCATGATCTCAACTATATAAAATTAACTGTTTAGAAATTTAAAAGTTTATTAAATTTCCTTTATTTTTTATATTTTCATATCTCAATAAATAATAGGAGTTTCATCGTCAATATTTATCACAATCTAGAAAATCAGAAAATTTGATCCATTCATTTCCAAATCGAACATTAAATCTCAAGTCACAAGTAAAATCTTTCAGGAATGATGATGAAGACCAAAATAAAACAATGATGAAAACACATGGAGCAAATAATTATTTGAATAAATCAATTCAACGAACTAATAGTTTTTAATATGTTTTCTATTATACATTGAATGATCATTGATAATACATAATGTTTATAACATATTACTTATAAAAAGATACATTCATTCTAAAAGATGACATTTGATAAGTTGATCGGATCATGATAGATTGATTAGATAATATGAACAAATATCGATACATATATATAATTAATTAGATAATGTTACCAATGAAATATAATTATAGAGAGCACTATTAGTTTGTAGAATATAATGTATAAACTTATGCATAAGTATATATTGATGATTTAGGTTGAAATTATTTTATTCTGTAAAAATATATTCTTTTTCTATAAATACATATAATGTATTTTGAATATTTTGTTTTTGAACAATATATAATAAAAGAATGTTATGACTTATTTATATAATTCATCGGTACTCCTAGGTCTTGGTGCCCGAGTTTCAGGTCATAGGAAAGCATAATCTACATGTATAGCGGTTTCAAATACGTTTACACTGATGTATCTCTTGGCACACACACAGGTAAGTATACTTACCTCGTGAGCGAACATACGTTACATGCGTACCGATAACACACATGCATCATGCATCTCATAGCATACATTAAGGTTTATTTACCCACCTGAGAGAGTAGATGGTCACCTCTCCCTTTGGACTTATTTGTTATGGCTGACTGTCACTTACGCATAACATGCATATCACTGGTACAAAGGCTTTCACCCTTGCACTTCATGACATACATATAACCATGAATAGTCTTTCAGGGGTGGTTTATGGTTATCTTCCCCAAGTATTTGCTACCATACTCTGTTATCATATCTCCGACCTCAAGGATTATGCCGCTGAATTTAGTAGACGTAGGAAGGACATTTTTAAACTTACGTTCCTTGAGCTAACAGACGTGCGAACCCTTTGCATATACTATATACATAAGGCACACAAACCGCAACTCATGCAACTCGTATATATGGGCACATATATCAGGCAACCCGCAAAATTTTCAGAGCCCTGAAAAAGGAACCCTGTTAACTGGGTTTACAGCAGAGTCGTGGATTAAACTGATCTCTGCTATCGCTCCAGTTAGCTGACAAGCTTCCTCCTACCACCCAGTAGCACCTAAGGGATACCTTATATCAGATTTTGCTGCCATCGTAAAGCAACGTTTGTAATCCCAACAGAGTTGAAATTGTAAGTCATAGTTCGATTTTCAGAACTATTCACCTGACAAAAATAATTTAGTCTTGTCGCATTTTTTGAGATAATGTTCTATCTTTCTATTGACCACATCATGGGGTCCATCGACCTAATATTCATCCTTACCAAAGTATTTAGATTATTACTGTCTAATAAATGTACTGTCTGAATTAAGTACATTAAGAAACCTGATTGTTAAAAAAGCTACCTATTTTGTTGCAGGACTAGAATCATCAACTAAACTGAAATTCTCCTAACTTAGCTACGAGACTTAGATACTCATTAAGTTTCCAGCACATTTTTGCTCAATTATGTTAATGATTACTTTAACTATGCACTTAATTTATCAGTTTGATTTTTATATGTATTATAATTCAAGTGCAGTTTTTGAAGTGAGCTGGTGTGTTCTTTCGTAAGAAGATCACATCAAGTTTCCTTGGGTTGAATTGTATTGGGTCTCGTATGATCAGGCCGTAATGACAGAACAACAGTTGTGTGACCTGTTTCTAGTCTGATTATCGATTATTTCACCTATATTTCCATTAGGACTTGTGACTATCCCATTTACCAATTAATACACTAGCCAATAAACGACAACCAGGATGTTAACGCTTGAAGGTCATCGAGCTCCTTCTAACTTAGTGGGCAAACAGAAGATGAAGACAAAAAGCGCATAAGTTTTCTATTGTACTCAATCCGACAATGACTCAAAACTCATACAATAATATAAATTAAAATCCTGACCACACATGAAGGCGATTAAGAAATTCAATAATGGCATAATTACGTCATAATTAGAACGAAAATGTGTTATAAGTCCTTAGTAAAATAACAGTAACTTATGAAAAGAACATATGGCAGCAGTTAATGGATCATGAGAAAGCTTACAGGCAGGAAAATACAAAATATAGTGATTCTATAATGAAATAATTAAAGAAAATTAACAGAAAGAATAACTTTCGGCAAGACAATATTGAAAATTCATTTTCTCTAATACTCGTCTTGTCGTAACACCCATCAACCTCTTTTCGGAAGAACTGTAGGAAGGTGTTAAAAATGGTCTTCTTCGTACTCACCTATTTACAAATTATTTAGAGGGGAGAACAACTATGACTAGATCTTGGTAAAAGCATTAAACGATTCCGGTCTGTAAACATTTTCTTTTTCCGCGGAAATGTGTAGGATCTCTTAAACTCTTACAGATCTGGACAACTTTGGCAATTGATTGAATTCTGGAGAACAGACTTCTGAGATCTCTGAAAAGAAAATTTCTGTTTAATTGAGCTTCGTATTGTCTTTTCTAGTCAGACCGCGATTTGTAATTTTATGAAAGATAAGCTCTTGCTTTAGGCCAAATCACTGTGCAACTATTGGTTTACTTGCTCATGTGGAGCAGGTCGTATTAGCCACACAAAGAGAGAGCATTCGAAAGTCATTTCCAAAAATTATCCTACCTGAATTTCTAAAGGATTATGATGAAAAACGTATCTACATTAGTCGATAGCTGGAAACCAGTTTAAGCCTAACATCTGAGTACAAATGCAATATGTTCAGTCCCTCGTTCTTTCAAAGTTTTAACCTCTCTTTCTAACTTCCATATTCTATCTTTTTTTCGTACTCCTTATTTTCGGAACTATTATTTAGCTATTATTACAACTCTTGATTATTCTGTTCTTAATAGCTATTAAGTGGACATTTATCTTCACCGTAACACTTTTTTACAGCCGGTGACTACAAAACTTCCTCTTAATATCTGGTTTTCGTAAATAATGAGCGAATAGATTTCATTTCAGGTTTTTTGATTATTCAGCACCACCCCATTTTACTATCGACTACTATTTTCGGAGATAAAATCCAACTATAAATACAATCGTGCCGCTTAAGTAAATGAAATGGTTGAAAGAACATCAGACTCAATGAACTCTATTCTTTTTCAACGATTACACATCAGCGTAAGTTATTCGTTTTCTGAAAACATTTGACAAGGCCATAATAGTCTGATTTTAGTATTTTCTGACGGTCATTAAAAAACCATGAGACAGAGTGGTTTTGACTGGGATTTCCTTCATGGCTCACCATATGGTTACTGAACCATTAAAATGTCGATGAATATTCTGTTGATGTTTGCTTCAACTGGGATCTTGTGAAAATTCAAGTAAACATTATTCTGTTGAAGAATATGCAACTCATCAGTTACATTTTCTATCTCCGTTCTAGTTATAAATTAGTTAGAAATCACACTTCAGTCCCGTTCTGAAACTGGGATGTATGACACAGTGAGAGAATTGAGTACATCCACCGTTATCTTTAAATATATAATTCTTTATGAATTTAATATGTTTGATGCTATTAAGAGTTCACCTTACTCGATGAGCGGAACAAATGTCAATGACATAGTGAAACGATAGGTTATTTTAATTCATTGTCCCCGGCCCTGCCAGCTAGATCAATAAATCATGATGAGGCATAGAGAATACATTCTACAAGCACCCAGAAAATACGAGGTCACTAAGCATACAAATCAAGATTATTTATAAAATGATAGAAACTCCCTTGGGAAAGCCACAAAAAGAGTACTAAAAAATCCGTCAAACAGTGACAGTCAAGGATTTCCAAGTGGGAAATGTAAGCTGTAGGTCAACTAAGCCTCTCTTGGCGCGAAAACACAAGTGACTTCTCGGAATTTAGCGTCCTCAACAGAATTTCATACAATTAACAACTTTTTTAACAATATTAACATGAAAGATTATTGATTTTAATTTTGTATACCTTGAAAATGTTATTGTTTATAGTTTGTTTAAAACTAACAAAATATATCAAATATATGAAATGATTTATCTTAATATAAACAAATAGGACTATTTACATAATAGATTCATATGTTTATACTTTCCATGTTAATTATTAATTTCCATAATGTTTATATACATGAAGATGTCAAAATAGATTCAAGTTATTTAGCTGATGTTAATTAATCTAATAATACATACTTACTCCTGTCACTCCCAATGGAGCATAGGCCACCGACTAGCAATCTTCAACCCACTCTGTCCTGGATCTGCCTTTTTAGTTCTATCCAATCTTTGTTCATTCTTCTCATATCTGTTTACATTTCTCGGTGTAATGTGTTCTTTGGTCTTCCTCTTCTCTTTTGGCCTTCAGGACTCCATGTGAGAAAGAAATTAGATATTTAATCTTTTAGAATATCCTTTATTAATAAAAGGAATAATGAAAATTAATAATACTAAATTCAAGTCACAAATAATCAATTTAAACATATTATTTACTTCTGTATACTTGTTATCACCCGTGAAAAAGAATAAATCGTCCACTAGTATTCTTAATCTGACTTTGTTCTTAGCAATCCTTTACAGTTGTTTTCAGATTTTATTTATCTGAAATTTATTTGATATGTGCTTCCAGTTCCCGGTGCAGTGTACAATTCGACCTTCTTCTTTTCCGTTTCTCCTGAGTTTTCCAAGTTAGGACTTGCCTCATGAAACAGTTTGATGATTTCTGTAATGTATGCCCGATCCACTTCCAACGTCTTTTCCTAATTTCCTATTCAAATGGAATCTGGTTTGTTCTCTTTTATAAGAAGTTGTTGCTGATGGTATTCGGTCAACAGACGTTTGTATCTAGAGTAGATAATTGTTTATAAATACTAGTACCTTTTTGATGATGGTTGTAGTAGCTATCCAAGTTTCAGCCCCATACACAACTATCTTGACATTTTTATTGAAGATCATGACTCTGATATTGGTTGACAGTTGTATGGTGCCTTGCTTTTCCGAATCGTTCCTTTACATTCGCCTCTGATGCTACCTAGATACGTGAAAGATTCCACATCTTCTAGAGCTTCCCCATCTAGTGTGTTTGGTTTTATGTTATCTGTGTTGTGTCTGAGTATCTTGGTTTGCCCTTGTATATGTCGAAGTCTACTGATTCAGAGGCTTCTTCTGCTACACTGGCTGTCTTCGTCTGCATATTTTGCTGTGCATGGGATAGAAGAGCTGGGTTATCTGAGACTTCCAAATCGTCCAGTTACCTCCAACCTGTCAGTTGTATTCCGTGCTTCCCATGACATGTGGTGGTATTCATAATCCAATCAACTGCCATATATGAAAGAGAAAGGGTTAGAGTAGGAAGCCTTGACTGACTGTGGTCCTCACTTGGAATGCGCCTGCCAG